CCGGGACTAGCTAAATGAGATTTTGAGTTTTTCCGTGAAATTTGCCACATGGGATGATTTTGTCTTAATCTTCACCGTTTCGTCTTTTCACTTTGTGTCCTTTGTGGATACCTGAAGAAGTATGGTCGCGTCATCAACGTGAGAAGGATCTGTGGGTTCACATTTTTCACATGAAACTATCTAGAAAAATTAGTACAATAAAATTACAAAGTAGATAGTCATTTTCTTATCAAAAACAAAGTACATGTACTGCTTGACCGGTCCTCTAGACGTAAGTTAACGGTCTACCTCTAAGATCCAGTCGAGTTAAACCAAATATATTAGGTCCGCAAATTACGATCGGTAATTTGCGAGTCCGCTCTATCCAGTCCGACTGCTCTTGGCACCTTAGCTGGAGACAGATCTCTCTCATTCCGCAAACATTTAACCTTATCTAATAGATTACGATCAATTTCGAGGGGATTCTTGTGTGCTGCACTGCTGGGTAGACTGTTTAGTAAGCCTGGTCAAGTGATCAAATGATCCACAATTTTGAAGATGGACACAGCAATCTCTATTACGATTCGTTTGATCGATCATTCTAATTTGGTGTTGCATTTGTTTTCAGGTCGTGCTACTGAAGTAAACACCGCGATAAGTTGCATGCGTATTCAATCAAACTCTCCACAAAGCCTCTATCTGTCGATCCGCATCACAAGACCGAGCCAGAATCTTGGACCAGGCTGTTTCGCTCCCATTCAGATAGACCGGTTTACTAGTAACCAACGGCCTTTGGCTGCTTCTTGTATATTTCGCACGAACGTCGTATTCAGAATAGAGCTTGTTCGTCCCTCTGAACTATGAACACCCCTTACATAAAGACAGTCGGTTGTTCCGCCAAATTTATGTCTGGTGACGATTAATGCATGATTTTCTCGTATGTACACTGGTTTTGGGAAGCAAGAAAGCTCATTTCCAATTTTGTGATAAAATTTGGTGTATTTCGCCAGTGTGAGCTGTAAAGCCACTGAAGAGTGGCTGCTCATCGGCCTCTCCCGGCCGAGCAGCTCATTGTTTAAACTAGTATGCGGGATGTCATGGTTTCGAGACTCCGCTGAGTTTCGTAAGATGGGCGCTAGTGACGTTTCCTAATAGGGCTGAAACAGATGAACGGTGCTTCCCAGCTTTGCATCATGGAGTTGTTTCATTTACTGGATGAAATCCCTATTAAGGCTTGATTCTCTCCGGGTATGTGTCTGTCCAAAAGAGGAGAAAATTGGGGCACTGAAAAGTAACCAGATATCGGTGGTTCGAGGAATAAAATGCGCTAAACATATGGCAACAGGCGATCATGGTTTCACCGAAAATTCAGAAAATGTAAACAAGAATGCAGCTCAAAAATACATGGATCCCTAATTTGGATAATCAGACAGCCGATGACAGACCGTTCCATGTATGAATTGTCAAGATATGCCTGGAAGACTTGGTGTGACCTGTGTTAACTGGCAGTTCAGGTTGGACAAACTTTATGCATCTTTGTGGTTAAACTGAAATACCAGTTTTGGCAGTATTTTATTGAATATCGGTCGAAATCTATCAGGGTGAATAGAGCTCAGCACGTGGCCGCTCAAATCATGTTTGTTGATAGTTCAGAATATCAAAAGCCTTTAGGTAACCAATTCACTTACCTAGGGACGCATCATTCACTTTGCTATCTGACGAAAAACTGGCCAGTGACGTACCCTGGTTAGTGTTCAAGCATTTGCAACTGCGTACAACTGAATCACAAAGCTTCGCTGAAATGTGCGATGATACGCTAAGACAGTTGTCGCAGTAAAAATGCCAGGATAAGGTACAATAAAACTATTTGGGTTTTCCATCGCACGATCTGTTCCCTGACGTCGGAATTTGCGTGAGTGCTTCCGCAATGTCAGAATACAATTTTGTCATCCAGCCCCCAGAATTTTGCGTTTTCTCACACCGTACGGGCTAATTATAACTAATTTCGTTATGCAAGGTGTGCACAATATTCCTGTGTCTGTATAATTGGGGGAAAAGATCGCAGTATCACATACCATCCCGGAAGTTTCGGAAAAAAATTATAGCCCGTGGTGATCCCACGCGAAAAATCTACAGTGCTCAACTTTATTCGCCTTCGAGGAATCTCCTGACTGCACACAGTTCATTTCCCCCTTTGGACAAAATTTATTTTATTTTAAAGGATCCTCGAATTGAAATAAAATGAAAAACGTTCTGGAATTATGGAGTAAGTTATGGAATGGGAAGCTAACTGCACCGGTGAAAACGACTGTTTACCTGTGAGTAGTTGCGTAAGTTGTGGAGTTTGTGTTTACTTTGCTAGTTTGGTAGACTCTACCGGGCAAGTCCTGGGTCAATTGTTTCGGTATCCCGTAGCAGTAGAGACTTGTGCTTATTAGGGCTGATCAGTACCGCGTATTTTTTATCGTGCAGAGTTCTGAATTACGGATAAGTGACACTGTAATATTTTTGCAAGTTTTCACCGTAACAGGTTTAAAGATGTGGCGAGAATAGTTTACTACCGTAATGGGTTGCTCGTATCCTTGGCTTTTTCCTCAATTTTCAGTTTTCATGGCTGTTCCTCCCTCTGAAAGACACATAGTCAGCATGCTTGTATCTGTTGGCTCTCAGTGGAAAGCTGGTATTGGTCGCAGGCACACAGAGGCATAGCGTTTAACTCGGGGATGTTCGGCAGTTTTCGAGAACGCAGAATAGATAGATAGCGGATAGATAGGTAGATAGATAGATAGGTAGATAGATAGATAGATAGATAGATAAACAGATAGATAGGTAGATAGATAGATAGATAGATAGATAGATAGATAGA